CCTGTCATAGTTGTAGGGACGGTGTCGGTAGATGGGGCCGCTAACACATGTCATTTCGTAACTATCATCATAAACACGTGTTTTATTTTTAAAACAATAATAAATTTACAATCGTCCCGTGAGAAAAAAAAGTCACGTTACTAATGACTAATATTATGACTAATCAATATGTTGTTTAATAATATGCTGTTTTAAGTTTAATACAAAGAAAGTATGCACAAATAAGACGTCTAAAATACAGGTATTTATTTAGTTCATTTATAAGCATCGCATCAACACTATTAGAGTTCTAAGACTAAATTGCATAGGTTTATGAAGATAGGTTCGTTTTTTTTACTGTTTCATCCCTTACATTTGTTTTACTTGTCTAAAATTAAGTTATAATGAAATAAATTATCTCTATCTTATCTTCAATAACAATTACATAAAATGGTATTTTTGTTACTCGTTCATTATTCAGTGACTTTTAGGTAAGTTTTTGTACTCAACTTCGGTGACATATTTTATTATTGAATTACTCGAATATATCATCGTGATTATTGAAGAATATTTCAGGTTACCACAATGGAATACAAAATAATGCTTCATGATGATATTCTATAAATATTTAAATAAAAAGAAATTGTCACCAAAATTTACTTCAAAAAACTTACCTGAAAATCACTGTATTATTGACATAAATATTGATACACTAGGCTCACATATACATGTGTAGATATAAATTAGCATTGCAATGTTTAAGGCTGGGGGTTGCAGTTAATTGCAAAGTGCAACCATTGTTTCTTGCACTCCGCCTCGGGAAAACCTGGAGGTTCCATTATTCTACGAGTTTTAATTTCACTGCATGTCTGTTATTTTAAATATTCTACATACATAAGTATAGTAGGCTACATTGTTAGGAGATATTAAAATATCTGGAAGAAATAATCTATTTTTAAATGCTGTTATGTATTCTAGATTTTTTTTATGATACAAAGTGGTGGGACAAACAAGTCTTACGCCTGATGGTGAACGACACACCTGTCCATAACAATTGCAATGCCACTCAGAGCTTTAAATTGCAAAGATCTGAGGTGCAC